TCTCTCTCTCTCTCTCTCTCTCTCTCTCTCTCTCTCGTTCATCATGTGCAATCAGTAGTTATATTTTTCAAATTATATTACTTCCTGGTCTGTTTCTGATCCTCTCGCGATGTGTTTCTGATGTGTTTCCGATATGTTTCCTATGTGTTTGCTATCGCGTCTATCCACCTACATGTGTTTTCTAGTGCATCTAGCCATCTAGAGTTGTATATTTTTCTGTTCAAGGTTTATTTTAGCCAGTGTTTTGTAAATAGTAAAGAAATTCTTGGTACAGTTTGTCTGATACGTGGTTTGAGTGTTACATTTTAATTTTCCGTATGCTTTACCAGTTTTTGTTCGTGATTTTTGTTCCCAAATTGTACCGTCCTTTTTCTTACTGTCGTGTGTGTGGCCCACACATCTAGAGTGTGTGTGTGGGTGTGTGTTAGTGTGTGTGTGGGTGTGTGTTAGTGTGGGTGTGTTAGTGTGGGTGTGTTAGTGTGGGTGTGTGTATGTGTGTGCGTGCTTGCTCTGAGCTGCTCTCTTGGAGAGATCATGAGATCATATGAGGAACAAAAAAGGGGGAGGACATTTGCCTGTTGTTTTTGTTATTGCCGATTCTTGAATGGCGTACACTTGTGGTCTGGTACAATGCACATCTCTTGTTGCACCATAAGGGATTTTATAACTGTTCTACGGCGGCTTTCAAGGAATTGTCTCCAAAAGCTAGTGATCATACGAAATCTGTGAATTTTCCCCAAAGGCTAATGAAAGATTCTAAATCTGTGAAAAGGAAAATCTACAAATTGTGTCAATCTTTTGACAAGGACGGCAAGAATGACAAAGTGCAGCCTGTCCTGGCTAGCCGAGGAAGAGTAGAACAAAATCCTTGAACGTTTAGCTCCTGGGGGTTGACCCAGATGCCAGACCCGAAAGCCTGGAAAAGGGAGATAATCCTTTTTAAAAAATAACGTGTTTTATAAAGACTTCTGTACAGAGTGATGTGAAAAACACACAACTATGTTGGGAAAAGATAATGCAGTCAACGAGGTAATTTCCTCAGCAGTACAGTCTGGCCTAGTGGTTTGATTCTCCCATTATAGTTGTGACTAGGGGCTTTTCAATGGCTACCTATTGCGTCAAATGAAAGAATAATCTGTACTTGTGACTTGAAAATATGATATACACAGTGGAGGGCGGAGGGTTAATCACGTTCCTGGTGTGTGTGTGTGGGGGGCGGGGGAGGGGGGGTATCAAGTTGTATCAAGTTGCTGGTTTGCCCCTCGGGGTGTTTCTGTGACTGCCAGCTGTTGCCTTGACGACCGGGTTGTGTGTGCTGGCCCAGATCTCTGTTGTTGACGGCGGCAGAGCAGAGTCTATTTTCTTACCACTGTTGTGTGTTCATGTGCTGTGTTGTGTGTGTGTTCATGTGCTGTGTTGTGTGTGTGTTTATGTGCTTTGCGTGTTCATGTGCTGTGTTGTGTGTGTGTTGTGTGTTCTTGTGTTGTGTGTTCTTGTGTTATGTGTTCGTGTGTGTGTTGTGTGTTCATGTTCTGTGTTGTGTGTGTGTTCATGTGTTGTGCTGTTTGTGTGTTCATGTGCTGTGTTGTGTGTGTGTTCATGTGTTGTGTTTTGTGTTCATGTGTGTGTTCATGTGTTGTGTGTTCATGTGCTGTGTTGTGCTGTGTGTTCATGTGTTGTGTTATGTGTGTGTTGTGTGTTCATGTGCTGTGTTGTACTGTGTGTTCATGTGGTGTGTTAATGTGTTGTGCTGTGTGTTCATGTGTTGTGTTATGTGTGTGTTGTGTGTTCATGTGCTGTGTTGTACTGTGTGTTCATGTGGTGTGTTAATGTGTTGTGCTGTGTGTTCATGTGTTGTGTTATGTGTGTGTTGTGTG